ATCATGTAATATCCTCCTTTGTCTCTTAGGCTGGTTTTTGCCTTAAAGTCTAATTTATCAGAGATTAAAGTTGCCACTCCTGCTCATTTTTGATTGGCACTAGTTTGATAAATTTTTTCCCATTCTCTGATTTTTAGTCTATTTCTGTGTTTGGGTATAAAATGTGTCTCTTATAGACGGCGTGTTGAAGAACCCTGTTTTCTTATAACTCTCTGTCTCTTGACTGGTATGTGTAATCCATTTACATTGAGTGTAATTACCAATAGGTATGAATTTATAACTGCCATTTTGTTATGTATGTGTTTTTTGTGATGTTTCTGGGTTTTTTTGTTCCACATAATTTTCTGTACTGAGTTCATTTTGTTTGTGGGTTTTCTTTTTTCTGTTGTTGTGTTAATGTTACTAAATCTTTCTGATATTTCTCTTTTTATTTTGATGTGAAAGTATGTTCATCTTTTTTGAGGGAGCCCTATAATTTAGTAATTTTCCCTACTTAAAACAGTTTTATCTTGAAACCTACTTTGACTTCCTTGCCATTTGGAAGTTCTATATTTGCATTTTTCTTTTTGGTATGTACTTGACTTCATTTGTAAATAGTTACCTCTGGTTCCCAGTTTTCAGTCTTGTAGGTTTGTTTTATTTAAATACTTTTATGTCCAGAGTACTGAGTTTTGGAGGATGTTACCATGTATGTTAATCTCAGGTTGTTGTCTCCTAGTGTTAATTCTCAGTACAAAGAACACCCTTTAGTAATTTTTATATAGTTCTGGTTATTACAAATTCCGTCAATTTCTCTTCACCTGGAAATGTCGTAACTGCCCTTTGTATTCAAGGGACAACTTTTCTGAGTTTATGATTTTTGGTTGGCAGTTTCTTTCTTTCCCTATTATGTATATGTCATTCCATTGCCTGCTTGCCTCCATTGTTTCTGCTGAAAATCATAGCTCAGTCTTACTGGTTCTCCTTTTTAGGTAACTTTTTGTTTTTCCCGAACTGCTCTCAGGATTCTTTCCATATCTTTGTTTTTGGAGAGTTTGGTTATGATTATGTCTTGGTGATTTTCTTTTGAGGTCTATGCTGTTTGGGCTCGTTCAACTTCTTATGTGCTTATCTTCGTGTCTCTCTTGATGTTAGGGAAGTTTTTTTCCAACAACTCTTTAGCAATTTTCTCTGTGTTTTATATTGTCTCTTCCTGTTCTGGAATTGCAGAACAGGAAGTGATTCCTCTATGTGGTGTCCCATATAACTTTTAGGATTTCTTTGGATTTTTTTTCATTCTTTTTTCTAATTGTTCTTCTAATATACTAGTACTGAGAAATACATCTTCAAGCTTACTAATTCAGGCTCCCATTGTTTCGAATCTACACCCAGAGATCCCTATGCATTGAACCTCCTCAACCTAAGTGCAAAGCTGTGACACCAGAGGACTAGCAGAGGAGCAGCAGCAGTAGAACCAAGAACCAGAGCATGAGACAGAGCAGTGGACTTCCCAGCCCACAGAGCAGCTAAAACCAAATGACTCAATGACTCAAGTAGGAAGCTTGCTTGTAGAGTAGACACTTAATTGAGGAATTAGGTTTGCTGGCCCAGCGAGCTGCACCCGAGTGCCTTCAAGCTGAAGCTTATGGTAGAGTGGTGTGTCCTATAGGCATTTATCATTGACTGGAACAATTTCTGTTCCCAAATGGTAACCTGTTAATGTCCCTAGTAAACCCCTTAACTATAAGTATGGTGTCTTATGAGTTCTGTGTGGCCACTGCAACGAATTACCAAACCTAGAATGAGGAGAGAGTGCTGTGGAAGAATGGTTTATTGTCACATATTTTTGCAAGATTTAGTCTGCATATATTTGCCGTTCTTTAGATAAGTTAGGTCACACCGTATTTGCCCTTTTGTGATTGCCACTTCACTCAGTATAATGGCTTCAAACTCCATCCATGTTGTAGCATGTATCAAGACTTCATTTCTCTTTCTGGCTGAGTAAGTTGCCACTTCAAGTTCATTAGGTGTATTCCTAGCAGTGGAATTATGGTCACTCTACAATTGATGATTTTGAGGAACTGTCACAGTTTAACACAGCAACTGGACCATTTTACATTTCCACCAACCATGTATTTCCATACATCCTCACTAACATGTTATTTTCTGCCGTTTTTTTTTTCTTTCTTTCCTTCTTTCACTTACTTTATGTTAGCCATTCTAACCCACCCACTGCCTTTAGTTGATTTGCACTCTTAGCAAACCTGTATAGGGTTTCCAACACTATAAATCTTTGCAGGAGTAGAAAGCCTCATCTTCCTTCTGCAGAGTGGCTGGTGGGTTTGAACTGCCAACCTTGTGGTTAGTAGTCTGATGAGTATCTACCATGGTTTCTCATGATTTTGAGTCGCATCTCTCACATGGTTTCTCATTTTGAGTTTTTTGTTGTTTTTTGCTACCTGAACAACTCCATCTGAATGTCCATGTTGTTGTTAAGTGCCTTTGAGTTCCAACTCACAGTAACCCTGTACAGGATTTCCAAGGAGTGGCTGGTGGGTTTGAATTGCCAGTCTTCTGGTTAGAAGCCCAGTGCTCATTCTACAGCAACATACCAGGACTCCTGAATGAACGTCCATTAGCTCCACAAATTCATCGTGTCCACACTCTGGACTTTCTCCTAGTCTATCCCCTCCTTTCATCTCTATCTCTTCTTACCAGACGTGCAGTCCTCACACTTTACTGCTTCCTTTTTTGCATCCTTCATATTTATCTATTTACCAGTATTTTTAGAATCCATCTCCACATCTGCCTCCTTAATTCCTTGCCTACAGTGTTATCCCTAAAACATCCTTTCCATACAGACACTTGAGTGAGCTGTGAAGTCTTTCAGTTCTACATGTTCACGTAAATTCCGTGTAGTAGTCAGACATTTGTGGAGCTGTTGGATAAGTACTGACCTGCGAATCACAAGTTTGGCAGTTCACACCCACCAGCTGCTCCTTGGAAACCCTGTACAGGGTCGCTATGAATCAGAATTGACTAACCAGCACTTAACAGCAATGGTTAGACACTCCCTACCCTCTCGGGGATTCTTTCTCTGACACTTCCAACCTCAGATGACTAGATATCTTTCCCTTATACTCTTTGTATGATTGCAAACTGTACGATCGTGAAACTAAAACAACAGCACCAAACTGTCTACAACTTTTAAAAACCGTTTATGGGATACAGAAATCAGAGAAATATATAAGCAGAGGCCTGAAAAATAATCAGCTTGAATAAGTTATTTGTCCTATAAATTTTCTATGTTATGGATTCATCTGATTGAATCGTTATGGTATTATTTAACATTTTTTTCAGTCTCCCATAATTCATATAAACTTAGTTAAATTTAGTGTCTTTATTAGATCCAGGTTTGATTCTTTAGCAACAGATCTTTATATGTGGTGATGATGATTAATACCTGTAGCACCACATCAGGAAGTCATGATACCTGGTTGCCCTGAAAACTATCAGAAGAACCAAAACATACTGAAATTCTTGTTAGCTATCATCTTTTGTTTTTAATACGCTGACAGTAATTATAAATAAGGATGAGAGCGGCAGTGAGGAAATTTCCAAGAACTCAAGGAGAAATGTTCAGTGGGTCACAGAGAGTTACTGCCATATTTGGGTGCCTCCTGGCATGGCTCTCTGAGATAAACACTGGACTGCAAGGTCAGTTTGAACTACAAGGTCAGCAGCTCAAACTTCCCAGCTGCTCCTCAGAAACTCTATATAGGTTCTCTATGTGTTAGAACCAACTCGATGACACTTAACACAACAACCACCATATTAATAGTAGAGTGTACAAAACAGATCAAGTCACATTCCTTAACCTCAGCATTTACCAGAAAGTACAGGCCATATAATATCAAATAAGAGATGACCCCATTAGCTTTGGGGCGTAAGAAAAGACAAAGTAATATAACAAAGAAGTTACTACACATAGAATACAAATACAGAAACAGATGAGAACTTTTGATCAAGGACACACAAATCTGTTAGAAAACAATTTCATTTTTATTTTTTAAAGCTTAATTTCTAAATATGAAACTTGATTTTTATCATGTCTACAAAGACTTCACTTCCTATTTGATGTACTTGGTATGACACTTAAGACTATTGCTCCATGCTTATGCCAACTTCGCCTGTTTTTGTTATTCCTCCCTTCCTCCTAGTCTTAAGTTTTCACTTACTGATGCTTTAAAATGCATCTATCTGTAAATCATTTTCTTAGTCCTTTAAATTTGCTTTGACCTCGGAATCAAAGAAAACATTGAAGCTTGCTGGAATTCTCTACTGTTTCAGTTAAAATTGCTTGAGCATAAACAGTTACATCAATTGTTACTATATTATTTGATTAGTAGAATATCAGAATATGTGGGTTTAAGTTATGCATGACAAATTTGAAGAGTAAAGATGTCAGCTTGAGGACTAAGGTGTGCCTGACCCAAGCCATGGTATTTTCAATAACCTCATATGCATACGAAAGCTGCACAGTGAATAAGGAAGACCATAGAAGAATTGATGCTTTTGAGTTATGGTGTTGGAGGAGAATATTGAAAGTTCCATGGGCTACCAAAAGAACCAGTAGATCCGTTTTAGAAAAAATGTAACCAGAGTGCTCCTTGGAGACCAGGATGGACAAACTTCGTCTCTCATACTTCAGACACATTGTCATGAGCGACCAGTCACTAGAGAAGGATATCATGTTTGGTAAGGTGAAGGGTCAGAGAAAAAGAGGAAGACCCCCAACGAGATGGATTGGCCGAGTGGTAGTATCAGTGGACTCAAGCGTGGCCCAGTGAAGTTGGCCCAGGATCGGGCAGTGTTTCATTCTGCTGTACATAAGGTTGCTATGGGTCGGTACTGACTCAGTGGCACTTAACAATAACAACAAATGAAAAATGTAATTGTATAAGACTAGCCCATTATGATAAATAAAACGTAGTATTTTAAACTATATATTTTTTAATTAGATTACACCACCACCTTCCCTGTCAGATCCACTTAAAGAGCTGTTTCGGCAACAGGAAGTTGTAAGGATGAAACTACGTTTGCAACACAGTATTGAAAGGGTAAGAATTGTTTAAATTTACACTTATGCTTTAAAAAAATTAACCTATTGCCATCAAGTCAATTCTGACTCATACTGACCCTCTAGGACAGATCCTTAGGATTTCTGAGACTCAGTCTGTACGGGAGCAGACAGCCTCATCTTGCTCCTATGGAACAGCCAGTGAATTTGAACTGCTGACCTTGTGGTTAGCAGCTGCAGCCCAGTGCTTATCAAAATGGCTTATTGTTTTATTATTATTTATGGCATCCAATTTAGTGCTATAGGATAAGCCCTGGACCCCTAACTGCAAGGTTGGTGGTTCAAACCTGCCAGCTGCTCCTTGGAAAACCTATACAGGGTTACTATGAGTCTGAACTCACCCGATGGTACTTAACAACATAGTTTTCACTAGTGGATTTTATTTAGAACCATTTTGGGAAATGGTTTGATTTTTATCTTGTGTGTATACAATTCAATAGAGAATTCTTAATCCTGTTTTAAGATTCTGCTACCACAGTATAAAGGAGCCCTGGTAGCCTGGTGGATTACTAGAGGGCTGTTAACCACAAGGTCAGCTGTTATAATCTGCCAGTCGCTCTGTGGAACAAATAGGCTTTCTGCTCCGGTAAAGATTTACAGCAGTTTAGACTCACAGTGGCTCCTCAGAAACTCTACATAGAGTCACTGTGAGCCGGAACCCATACAAAGTGTCGCTGTGAGTTGGAACTGACTCAGTGGCACACAATCACTAACTACCATATTATAATTCACATTGGCTGTCTTTCTGATATATAAAGCTCTCCAATGGTTTTTTGTTATCAGTTGTTGAATTTGCAGACCTACGTCAGTGAATTCCTAATAGATGCTTGGGTTTCCAAATTTGGGAATGGATGTCTAGAGCCAGCTAATTTATCAAGGCTGACCTTAAACATGTACTTAAATTAATAAACCATAAATGTTAGATTTTTTTCTTCTGTAAGTTCAGTAGGACCATGTTTCTTTGCCTTTTATACTAAATTACATAGTGAAACTATAATAATGTATATTTGAATATAATGTGGCCTGCATTCTCTAATGGGAGAAGGCTAAAGTTCTTGTCAGTTGAGGAGAGAATGAGGAATCTGGTAGGGAGAAGACAAGGCAAGTATTCTCCCAGCTCCACTGCCCAGACAGGACCAACAAAATGAATGTCATATAACTGAGGAGTCCTGTACTTAGCATTCCTGCCAGCCACAGGTCCCAGAGTTGTTCCCACTGATATTTAAGCCAAAGAGTACCATTACCACCAAATGACACAAATCTGTAGGATGGTTTAGGAACTGCAGTTGGAACTCAGGGATTTCTAGCCTGCTGAATGCAGAAGCTCGTCTAGATCATTTTATTAACCTTGCATTTTACATAATTGAAAGTTTTAGACTCCACTTAACACACTAAGGTGAAATTTTACTGTAGTTGCCAGTTATTTGCAAGTAATTAGCATCAGAGTATATATTTATTACTAAGAAAATATTTATTATAATTAGCAGTGATGAGGTAGAGAAATTAAAACATTCATACATTACTAGTGGACCATAAAATGATACAACAGCTGTGGGAAACAATTTAATGGTTTCTCAAGGGGTTAAACGTAAAGTTACCATGTTATTGTTGCTGTTGTTAAGCTGCTGAGTTGAGTTCAACTTATAGTGACCCTGTGTAGGGTTTTCAAGGAGCAATTGGTAGGTTTAAACCACCCATCTTGTGGTTAGCAGTTCGGTGCTTATCCTACAGTGCCAAACTTTATAACTCAGCAATTCCACTTGTAGTTATTTACCCAAGAGAATTGAAAACATCTTCACACAAATATCTGAGCATGAATATTCATAGCAGCAGCATTCACAGTAGGCAAAAAGTGTAAACAACCCGAATGTCCTTTCAACTGAGGAATGGATAAACAAAATGTGGTATATATACATTAGACTATTATTCAGCCATAAAAAGGAATAAAGAAGTATTGATATATTCTATGAGATGAATGAATTTTGAAAGCATTTTGATGCTAAGTGAAAAAGCACAGTCACAAAAGACCACATTGTGTGATTCAGTTTATACTAAATGTTCAGAATAGATAAATCAGTAGAGACAAAAAATAGATTAGCATTTGCCAAGGAGTAGAGAAAGAAGAGTCCTGGTGTGGCACTGTGGGCTAATGCGTCAGACTGCAAAGTCATTTGAACTATAAGATCAGTGGTTCAGGCTTACCAGTTGCTCCTTGGAAACCCTATACAGGGTCACTATGGGTCGGGATCAACTCGATGGCACTTAACACCAACAACAGGGAAAAAAGAAAATAGGAAGGTAGGAAAGGAGTGTCTGGGATGCTTTGGAGTTAGATAGTAGTAATGGTCATGCAGCATGATAAATATACTAAAAACCATCATTGTTCACTTTTGAAAAAAGGCTGTTAGTTTGGGAATGCCATTAATGTTAACTGCTGTCAAGTTGGTTCCAACTCATTGTGCCCTCTATAGGGGTTTTGAGGCTATAAATCTTCAAGGGAGCAGAAAGACTTATCTTTCTCCTGCAGAGCAGCTGGCAGGCTAGAACCATGGACCTTGTGGTTCATAGTCTAGTGCTTATAATATGGAGCCACAGCACTCCCAATTTTGGAATAAGAAAAGGCGTTTATACTTTTAGCACATTAGGAATTCCCAAGTTTGTCAAGCCTACTGAGAAGAAATGCTACTCTGAAATTTAACATATTTTAAGGGTAGTTTTCTATAAGTTTGAAAAACAAATTGATACATAATTGATGTATGTGTGTGTGTTTTGATTATTTGTTCAATTAGGAAAAACTCATTGTATCCAATGAGCAGGAAGTTCTCCGAGTGCACTATAGAGCAGCCAGAACATTGGCAAATCAAACACTGCCATTTAGTGCTTGTACTGTTTTGCTGGATGCAGAAGTATACAATGTTCCACTGGACTCTCAGGTAAAACATTCATTGGTGCATTTTGAATGCTCTTAAGTATAACCAGGTTCCTTTTTTCATCTGTTTCCATAGAAGAAACTTTGATTTAACAATTATCAGAATTTAAAGGAGAAAACAACTCTTTCAGACCAGAGTACTCTTTCTGGATTAGCTCATTTTCTTTTTCCTAAAGCCCTTTAAACATTAGATTTATGTTATAATTTCAGATGATCAGAAAACAGATATGTCTTTAGGATAGTGCTCATATAACTTTCATATGTCCTATATATAATCTGTCACTTGTTTCTAAAGTAGAGTTTTATACATTTAGTTCTTAGTACCTTGCCTCTACTGTGGAAAGTTTCCTCCATACTGAGGAAACTATGCAAGCAGGTGAAAACTGTACATGAGGTTTAAAGCCCTTATAAGAGGGCTTCTAAAAGTTCATGGAAAAATACAATTATAAAATAATGGAATATTTTTCACTTAAACTTTTTGAAGTCTCCTCATAACATTGCCAAGATACTGCTTAGGTCCTGTTTTGATCTTCAATATTGGTGGAATAAATTAATAAAATCGTGAAATTTTATATCTGTGTCTTTAATATGAAAAATAAAAAGTTTATAAGCGCAAACATTGAATACTACAAAATGCTATTTTGAAGTAGATAGACTAGTAATATACAGGCATGGTGTATCAGAGTCAGTGACTTCATCCTCTCTGGGCTTTATTGTCTTATCTGTGATAAGAGAAGATTGAACAAGATCAGTGATTTTCAAAATGTTTTAAGTCATTAAATGTTTTATTCAAATGAAAGTGTTTGGATATATCTTAAGATGCTTTTAAAATGAGTAATTGGATCTTAAAACAGCTATTTGACTCTAACGAAGTAAACACTAGAAAGGTCACTTAGGGAGTTTACAGAATTTTCAGCATTACTAGTTTTAAAGGGATGAATGGATGGTTTTAAATAACTGAACTTCTTAGTTTAATTATACTGATAAAAGGCTAGACTATACCATATGATTCCATGAAGTCTTACAAAATCTTGTGCAATTATAGGATAATGAAATCAGTATTAGAAAAATATGGATAGGTTTTAACCACGGTGCAAGGGAAATTATGTTGAGGATATCTAGTTCAGAGTGTTTGAGTAAATAACTGAATATAACTGTTTTCCATATTTTCCTCCCCAAATTCATTGAAGTGACAAAAAAAATTTTTTTTTAATATAGTCTATATTAATTCTAAAAGAGGTATCCTTAAGAATCAGCTTAGAACTTATTTATATGTACTCTAAAAAATTGGTCCTGGACAATGTCAGAGCTCCACTTCAACACAACTCCCTACATCTGAGAAAACATTAAAATTAAATAGATTGTGTATTAATATGAATGTCACAGATGCAGTACTTGATAAGACATGTCTTTCTGAGACGTACCTTTAGCTCACAAAATTGTAGGTTCTATTTAATTAATAATTAAACCCAGCATATTGATAATTCTAATAACTAATCTGTCAACTTAGTATGGAAATAAAAGCTTTATGAAATTTTAATATTATATTGTTTTAAAATTATAGTTCCATCATTCCTGAAAAATAACTTATAACATAAAAAGATGATATGATCACCTAGAGATTTTAAAGTACGTTAATGGTGTCTTGTCTACTTTTAATGTTCTCTTTCAGTCTGATGACAGTAAGACTTCAGTGAGGGATCGCTTTAATGCAAGACAGTTTATGTCTTGGTTACAAGATGTAGATGATAAATTTGATAAATTAAAGGTATGTATGTTCAGAAATTCAGTTTAAATGAATGCTTTCCTCCTTCATAAACAAACTGCAACTATATTAAAATTATTAGGAAACATTGGCTACTCATATATCCTTATGCTGAGCCACAATTAGAAAGATAAAGGGAAATAGAGACTGCAAGTCCATTTTTAGGACCAGTGTAGTCCTGGTGTGGTGATGCAGGATAAACATGACTAAGGACAGTTTGAAGTACAAGGTCAGCAATTCAAACTCAACAGCCACTCATCAGAAACCCTGTACAGGGTCGCTATGAGTTGGAACCAACTCAACAGCACCTAACAAGAGTTCAAAAGATTAAAATACCATAGTAAAAGCAGCTTATAACGTGGATTTACATTGTAATTATCTAAGCCACGTGTCTATAAATATGAAAGCTTGGTAAAGAGGAACATGTTTTGCAAATCAGTAAAGAAAATTTCTGAGAAATGTTATTATTTTCCTTTTTTTTACAATTCCTGCGATAATTTGAAATCTTATCATTTGAAAGTACATTTTGAAATTTTGAGTGTGACGTTGCACACACATAAATAATTGGCATATGGATCTGAACAGTATAAAACAGGAACTGGGTATATAATTTAAGAACTGTCTGTACTCCTAATGTGCCCATCTTAGTGACTAAGGAAACTGTTGTTAAGTGCTGTCGAATTGGTGCCGACTCATAGTGAGGGCTGTGAAGGTTTCCAAGGAGTGGCTAGTGGGTTTCTACCACCAACCTGTGTTCAGTAGTCATCCTACAGCACGACACCAGAACTAAATTACATTAATTTTTTTAAATGTTTTATTGTGAATTATATGATAGTTTACATGGGAGAATATTAGTTTTACATTCATTCTATTGTATATTGTTTCATTGCCATGGTTACAATCCCCTCCATGCATCATCATCAACCAACCAAAGGGTATACCCTGCAAGCCTGCCCCCTACACTATTTCCCTCACCCTCAAACCCCGCCCCCGAGTCTTCAGCACACAGTCGCTCTCCCTCTCTGGATCTAAAATCTCCAGCTGCTCCATCGCTCCACATCATCGTCTCTGCCTCCATCTCAGGCATCACTGCTTCTCTGGGGAGGATCCCGCTCTCTGCTCTTCTCCATTGATGGTCCTAGGAACTTCCACTCCTAGACTAAAAAGTTAATCACTCCCCTCCTTGCTATAAAATATCTACCTTTACATTTCCAACCCTCACAATCAGTCCTGATAACAATTACTCACTATTGTATCACAAGAGACCCATCTGCATTTCATTTCATCAGCTCCACCTAGACAGATTGGAAACTACTCACTGGAGATTCTGCCTTCCTCTAGCCCCCCTGGCTCTAGATTCCCTTCTGAAAGCTTGTAAGCCAGTCACTTCCTGCCTTTGTAGCCCCCATTTCCCCCCTATTTTGGGTAGCCAATGTCCAAGTTGCCCATCCCTGTCTACTCTGTGTGGGGAAGGGGTGGGAATGATTCTTGCTGTAAGGATTTGTTCCCTCTTTTGAGTTACTGCATCTATAGGTGTAGGTCAAGTTCATCAAATTGTATCAGATTACTCTTTTTTTCCTCTTCTTTCTTCTTCTGGTTGAGCTCTGATCATCCAGTCATTGAAGTCAGGTCAAGTGGGTATTATCTGCAAGTGTGGGTGTTCTTGTACGTATGCCCTCTCTTTCTATCAGCTGCACGCTTCACTCTCCACATTGTAGGGCGTAGCTCGTCACTTCATTGCTGTTTTTCCCTCACTTCTCCTAATCGGTGTCGAGCGTGGTCACCAATCAGAGCATGTATTCCCACTGAGTCTTACTCTTCGAAGGGGGTTTACACTGAGGGGACCTGACCACTTGCCTTGATGTTTCCTGGGCAAGCAACTAGTTTGTTCTTGTAGTAACAGTCTGTCTGCCTCTATTGTTTTGTATTTTTCCTGTAGGTCTTTCTTTCAAGAAGTATTTTCTGTTCTTCTAGCATCCCCAGCCTGGTTTGCTCGGCCTTTCAAGTGGAAATTTCCCATCTCTGGAGATCTGGATGTGGTTCAGGCTTCTACCTATAGTTTTATGTATTGCAGAGGCTCCACAGGAAGCCTCCTTCACTAGGCATGTTGTAGCCCCATTTTAGGTATTCCAAACAATTATAGGCAGAAGACGGACTTAGAAGCTTTCTATGGTGTTGTTTCTGACTATTCCTTTCTCTCCCCCTCCAGTGTCTATATTATATTATAATGCAAGGAAAACCAAGATTCAAACGACAGCCAAGCATCTTAACATTATTCCCCCTTTTCCCCATTCCAACCACGTCTCAATCTCTGTATCCCAGAGCCCTGTAGTTCCAAGGCTGTGCATACATCATTCTTTACCTCTGTCCCACTTAGCCCATTCAAACATGCCTAATTGTTCTCCCATCTGCTTTGTTCTTCCATTCCCCTCTCCCTTCTTGTATATTCCCCCACTCCCCAGCACCCAAACTTTCCTGTGTCTAATCCCTGCCCTGTGCTCCACCTTCCCCTCCCTCCCTTCACCCACCCCCAACATACCAGCAATCAACAAAGAATCCGCCCACCCCCCTTTACTATGGGTTCTTTTTCTTAGTCTTTTACAGTAGTGGTCCTATGCAGTATTTCTCTTTCTGTGACTGACTGATTTCACTCAATGTCCCCAAGGTTCATCCATATTATGCGGTGGCTTTGCCGCTTCGTTGTTATTCTTCAAGGTAGCATAGTATTCCATTGTGTGTATGTACCACAGTTTGTTTAGCCATTCTTCAGTTGATGGGCACTTTGGCTGTCTCCATCTTTTTGCTATTGTAAATAGTGCTACTATGAACATTGGTGTGCATATATCGTCTCGTGTTGTGGCTCGTTTTTCTTGTGGGTAAATACCAAGTAGAAGAATTGCTAGATTGCTATTTTCAACCTTCTGAGGAGATGCCAGAGGAAGCACCATATTGCTTTCCAGAGAGGTTGGACCATTTTTCAGTCCCACCAGCAATACAGGAGTGTCCCAGTCTCTCCACATCCCCGCCAGGATTTATTGTCCTCTACATTTCTGATCTTTGCTATTATTGTTGGTGTGAGATGATATCTCATTGTTGTTTTGATTTGCATCTCTCTAATGGTTAGTGATCGTGAGCATTTTTTCATATGTTTGTTGGCTGCCTGGATCTCTTCCTTAGTGAAGTGTCTGTTCCTGTCCTGTGTCCCTAAATTAGATTAATTTTTAAACAAAGTAAGTTAACAGAAAATTCAATTAACTCTTCTCTGCTTTTAAATAGACTTGTCTTTTAATGAGGCAACAACATGAAGCTGCGGCCTTAAATGCAGTTCAGAGATTAGAATGGCAGCTCAAACTCCAGGAACTGGATCCTGCTACCTACAAATCCATCAGCATTTATGAAATCCAGGAGTTTTATGTTCCCCTTGTAGATGTTAATGATGACTTTGAATTGACTCCTATATAATAGCCATTACTTCTTGTAGTGTCTTCTTAACCTCAAAAATTATACTGTGGAAACTGCCTCTTTACAAAAATGCTGATTTTAATGCCTTTACAGTTATTAGTAAAGTTCAGTGTAAGTTGCTTATGTAGTAAACACTGTCATTTTATTTTAAAAAAAAATGAAGAGGATTATTTTGGATTTAGATCTAAACCCAGTTCTAATTGGGTTCTAACCTATTATTTATATTGGTGAAAGGTAGCTTGCATTAGGGCATGTTGACCAATTATAGTAGATATTTAAAAGTTGAGCACCTGCTAACAGCGCTGGAAGTTGTTAGCAATCTAAGTAACAAGGTAACCACTAGTATTAAAGTCTCTTTCAGGTTTTATTAAAAATATATCAGTAAGCTAAAAAGTTCAATGCCTACCAAATAGTTTTTAATGTGGAAGAGAAATAGCACAAAATTTCTTCAGTTTATTATATATGTAAATTAATTGTACAGAGTCCTTTTTGAAAGTTTTAATATTGTCCTTTTTAATAACTTATTTTATACATATTGTGCAGATGTAAATCTTATAATTAATGGTCAAAGTGTATACAAAGGGATTGGTAGTAAAACTATGTATAAAAAATAATTGTAAAACTGTTTTGTCTGCTGTTTTATTGGACCAAAGTTGTAACTTGTATGGAAGTGCAAAAGTAGTGTGTTTAGGTAGCAAAACTTTAAATAAGGCATGCATTTATTTGAGTTAGCTTGTTTTCATCACCGTAACTGTAAAGATTGTGAATTAGTTGTATTGCATGCTTTCTATAATTTAACTCCATAACTGATGCCTAAAATAGTAGTGTCATGTGTTTCATACTCGTCTCCTATGGTAGTGCCTGTGACTTATTGTGGTAAACATTTTATTTACAATCAGTCTTAAAAAAACCTTTTGCTCATTTTTCATCTCACAGTAGAGCCTATCCCCCCCCCCAAAATATGCTTTTGCATTAAAATTCTGAAATTGTAAATGTCTATTTTAATACTCAACTATGAAAGAATCTGTGAATATATGTAAATATGTTTAATAAATTTTATTGGTCATGTTAAATCATTGTAAAACTTTTTTACATTGCTTAAATTTAATGTTTTAAGCTTAATATCCTTTTCACTTTTAAAGTAAAAGCTGAGTACTCAAATCAAGAATGATACTTGACGGTAGTTAAAATAAATAAAAGAAACAGGTATGTTCTACTCATTCTCATCAGTATTTATGAAATACTGATTAATATGTTGTGTGTTTTTTCTTGTTACCAAGAAGCAAAGCATAATTTGCAGAATTTTACAATTTAAGTAAGATTTGGTATGCTGTTTTATAACAGCAAAATAACTATCAATATTCTTAGGAAAAAATCCATGCCTTCCTATAACATCATATAGATTAAATATCCAGGCATATTTCAGATCTGAAACCACTGCTGAACATGTTAAACACTTTTGAAATAAAAATTACCTTAGTATAAAATTAATCCATAATTATTTGAGATAAAACTTAAATAATTTTCTACAATACTTTCTTTAATTATAAAATAATGCTGAGTATTTTTTTTATTATGTTAGAGAAAGTGAAAAGAATATGAAGAATTAAGGAATTTAATTGCAGCCTGTGGAGTTGGAAATTTTAACTAATTAAGAAAGAACGTAAAAAGTGAGAATTTTGAGTGCAAAGGTATATATTAAGCTTAGGGACTTTGAATTTTCATATCGATTTATATTTTAATTCATATTGTAGTTGGCATGCGCAATATAGCAACATGTGTAAAAATTACACAGTGCAAGGACTTTATTATAAAGGTTGGATGTAGTTCTCTTTAGAAACATAGATGAGCGATATTGGCCTTTTTTATTGGATAAATGGGGGTCAGAGAGGCAGGGAAGATTTTGAAGCACTGGTTTTGTTGAAGTTAAGTTTATTAAGACTGGGAACATTAAAAGCTAATTTATAAAAGCAATACTTTTTAATATGAAAAACAATGCAAATTTTATTTATTATTTTTTTTTTGCCTGAGAAGGAAATGTGATGGGATACTATGATAAAACCTCAACCTTATTGAGCTTTGAAGTTATAGAAAATACCAGAGGGGTAAATTTTTTAGAGCATTTTGTTCTGATGGTCCAACTACAGAAAAGGAGAGGGGAAAAAAAAAATCACTGTTTGACCAAATAGAACAAGCTACAGAAGAGAAAAGCAAGCAAGAAGGAATCTGGCATGTTTTATAGTCATCCCAGCTTTTTAGCTACATTTCTCAACCTCTTCAGTTGTATCTCCAAGAGTTAAGAGCCTCTCTGCTGTGATTCAGCCCCTTCTACAAATTTGCTTGATAAAGTGGCTCAAAGCTAATTGGCACAGCTTAAAAGAGTAGTCGGTACCTTCTCTTGGAGAACTTACAATCAAGTAAGTCTATGGGTATTAAAGGTACTCTGAAATCTTGAAACATTATGGAATGGAAGATATTCTTAAAAGGATTTTAGATTCTGAAAGAAAAAGAATGGTTCGTTTAATCAGTGATTTTTTTTTTTAAAGTATGAAAATATGAATAAGATACTAAATTGTACTTAAGGATTTGAATCTCTTTAAATCAAGTTCTAAATCATACCTGTTTAATAAATGACTAGTTGATATTGTGCATGTTATTTAATAAAGAGTTATATTTTTATAGAAAAAATAAGAGTGAAATGTGTGGGTTTTGGTTTTTGTGTGTGTGTGTTTTGTTTTTGTTTTTTACTTTTCACTCCCAAATAACTATAATGCTTACTTGGGCACCTGGCAAAATGGGAAAAATATTTGTTCTGGAAAAGCAAACAGCCTCTAAATAATTAGCCTATCAAGTTCAAATCTATTTAGTAATGAGTGATCTCACAAATGAAATTTATGTGCAGTTGTTGTTAAGTGCCTCTGAGTCATCGCCAACTCATAGCAACCCTGTATAGAGTTTCCAAGGAGCAGCTGGTGAATTTGAACCACCAACCTGTAAGTTCAGTACAGCCTATAAATGATGGAACCTGCATAATGCAAAACCTGTCAAGGAAAGAAAACGCAAATATTTTTTAATAAAATGAACAACAGAAAACTGGTAAAACTACACCCTGTCAACGGCAGAAAACTTGTGAGATCTGGAAAAAGGCAGCCCTGTCAAGTTCAGGTTTTCATAGGTTTCACTATATTAGACATACCTAAAGGAGCTCTGGTAGCGTAGTGGTTACGAATCGGGCTGCGAACCTTAAGGTCAGCGGTTCGAAACTACCAGCCGCTCCGCGGGAGAAAGATGAGGCTTTCTACTCCCGTAAAGATTTACACCCTCAGAAACCCTGTACAGGGTCGCTATGGGTCGGAACCGACTCAATGGCACTTAACAACAACAACAAAGGAGCTCTGGTAGCGTAGTGGTTACGAATCGGGCTGCGAACCGCAAGGTCAGCAGTTTGAAACTTTCTACTCCCGTAAAGATTTACAGCCTCGGAAACCCTGTTCAGGATCGCTATGGGTCGGAACCGACTGGACAGCACTTAACAACAACAAACTTAACTCTCAAATCTCAAGCAAAGACCCCATGAAGCACATTTTAATGTGATTTCAGAATTATAATTACTCTAGAAATTGAATGTTTGTTTTCTTGTTAAGTGTAGTCGTTTCCAACTCATAGTGACCTTGTTTAGGGTTTCTGAGGCTGTAAGTCTTTGAGGGAGCATAAAGTTTCGTTTTTCCCCCACGGAGCAACTGATAGGTTTGAACCACTAGCCTTGTGCTTGCCCAGACCAGTGTTTATCCTAAAGAGCCACTTCCCTCTCATTTTTTTTTTTTTTCTTCTTAAGTGCTTTTGAGCCAGTTCTGACTCACAGAGACCCTGTTTAGGGTTTCTGAAGAGCAACTGGTGGTTTGAGCCGCTGACTTAAATGGTTAGCAGTCCAGTACCTTATCCTATAGAACCACATCAGGAGTCCCATTTTTTTTTTCCTTGGGATGGTGGTATGTGCCGTGGAGTCGGTTCTGACTCATAGCAACCCCGTATAGGGTTTCCGAGGCTGTAAATCTTTACAGGAGCAGAAGCCTCATCTTTCTTCCACGGAACAGCTGATAGTTTTGAACTGCTGACCTTGAGCTTATTAGCAGCCCAACTTGTAACCACTATGCTACTAGAGCCCCTTATTTTTTTTAGCTATTCAAAAATTTAGTAATATTTTATATTCCATCTTTGATATGATGCATGAAAATTTAAATATTCATAAATAGGAAACTTGAAAATTGATGAGATCACATTCTCTTTTTATTTACATAAAGCATTTTCTCCATTAAAAAAAATTTATTTTCTAACTTAAGTTGAAAATAAGGAGCTCTTGTAGTGTAGTGGCCACGAATCGGGCTGCGAACTACAAGGTCAGCATTTCGAAACTACCAGCTGCTCTGCAGGAGAAAGATAAGGCGTTCTGCTCCCGTAAAGATTAACAGCCTTGGAAACCCTGTGCAGGGTTGCTATGAGTTAGGACTGACTCCATGGCACATAACAACAACAAGTTGAAAATATTGTTAGAAGATATACTAATTATTAGCTACCAAGGAGCTGCTTCTAATCGTAGCAACTCAATGCACAACAGAATGAAATGCACAACTGCTCCAGTCCTGCATCATCCTCACAATTGCTATGCTTGAGCTTTTCCAACCGAAGGGCACATCTTCTAACACTGTATCAGACTGTTCCACTGCTATTCATTAGGTTTCCAATGGCTCATTTTTCAGAAGGAGGCTGCCTGTTTCTTCTTCCTACTCTTAGTCTGGATACTCTGCTAAAGCCTGTCTACCATGGGTAACCTACTGGTATGTGAAATATCAGGGAGATAGCTTAGAGCAACATGCAAGCCACTACAGTATGACAGACTGATAGGCAAGTTGTGGTAATCTTTGAAAAAGCTTACTGTGTGAAATGTAGCTGGTTAAAATACCATGTAATTCACAATTTTCTTAGTTAACTTGTTCAAACTA